ATGTTTCCGACAAACGATCCTTCGGCCTGCTCCTCCGGGATGGAATACCGAGCCTGACCAGCCACTGCGCTCAGCTCGATGAGACAAAGAATCAACACCAGCGCTTGCCGTCGGCCTCTGTCAGCCATTATCCACATAGAGGCCACCATAAATCCAACAGTGCAGACACAGCGATTGTTTTTTTAACTTCGAACTGATGTTATTAATCTAAAAACTCGACACATTTATGTATTTTCAGCAAGCAGACTCCCGGAGAGATTCTACACTTGAATCCGTAACGGATCAGAGCAGCGTCTCGCTTAGTATTATAACACTTAGTGAATATAAAAGGGAGGACCGCTGCATTAAGGGTCTGACACAAGCTCAGTGACGCATCAACAGCGGCACTTAGAGCTCATTCACGGTAATGTATCTTGTAGAAGCTTAAATACTTTTATATTCCAGAAATATTTGATTGACAAAGTGAAGAATAATTAGAGAAGAGCTCGAAAGAAAAAGGAGCATTAGATTCTCAAACAATCTTCAGGTCCTGTTCAAACAAAGTGTCTTCAGTATAAGATGACAATGTTACCAAATCTAACTTAACTTTAATTTTCTTATCATCTCAATTCATTATTAAAAAAAACCCAACAACAACTACAACACTGACTATTAACACTTTAATAAATGACATAAAACAGCATGAACGTTAAATGGACAAAAAAGTAGTAAAGTCTAAATGATTACGGATAGTCTGGAAGTGAGGTTAAGCTCTCTTTTAACAACTTTTCTATTTAAAGGGTGTGTTTTGTTTCCTTTCTTACTGCTACAAAAACACAGAAATATATGGTTTATTGATTAAATTAGAGAAACGTCATTTAAAAAGTTGCAAAATCATTAACAAACCCTTTAATGGTTGAAGTATTTGTTAAATAATATCATAGTATGGATGAATATGTCTGCCAAAAAGAACAAAGGGAAAATAAAGTGCCATTTTAACAAAATATTTATTTTATTTCCGTTGGTAATGATAAGCGAGGTTAAATTAAAGAAAATATTATAATAACTGGGCCATTTAAACAGGCGTCGAAATAAAATGGGTGAGAAAGACTGTGGCGCAGTGAGATAAGAACCTCCCTTGAGTACCAGAAGTGCCAGGTTCGAAATAAAATGGGTCAGTTGACCGTTTCAGCACCACAAACAGCGACATTAACGCGCATCTGGAAGATTCAACCTTAACGCCACACATTCTCTCTCTCTCTCTCTCTCTCTCTC